GGACAAGAACCAGGTAGACTGGTGACAATATCTCTACAGGAACACAGAGAGCGTTTAAAAGTCTAACTCTAATTCCACCTCCATACGTTTCTGTGTGTGTACAGCGCCAGTGTGTGGAATATGCCCTGAAGGCCCGTCCCCTGCGCAGGTACATCCCCAAGAACCCGTATCAGTACAAGGTGTGGTACGTGGTGAACTCCACCTACTTTGAGTACCTGATGTTCACCCTCATCCTTCTCAACACCATCTGCCTGGCCATGCAGGTCAGTATGCTCACTAGCTCAATTAATACACATATACTCAAATACATAAATCTAATCTTCTTGATTAATTTATGCGTTTGCAGCATCATGGCCAATCTCAGTCCTTCAGCAAAGCCATGAATATCCTCAATATGTTGTTCACCGGCCTCTTCACTGTGGAAATGATCCTCAAACTCATCGCCTTCAAACCCAGGGTACGCCATGCATGTTTATTATATGAGCAAAGCTGATTTTCATTCCAAATCATTCTATTATTAGACGTCTGTGTACAGGAACTTCTAAGTCTTTAAAATTAAATTGTATATTATTATTATTTGAAAAAAAAATCCAATTTGAGATGATTAGACTATAAGCTATTCTTAAAATTGAAGTCCCAGCATGCACTTTACAGTACTTTATTATCAGTGCTTTGAATTGTGTTTTTTTTTTGCCGTGTGCTGTTTAACAAACAATTTTACAGTTGTCCTCCAGGCTAAATGTTTTCCATTCCGGTTTTTGTTTGTGTCATCAAATGCACAGTTTACAGCGGATAACACTCTGCTTATCTTTAGAAATGTCACGTCTCACTTATTTAGTCTGTCTTTGACCTGAAATGTTTTACTACAGTCACTAGTTTTGCCCCAGATGAGGACTGAAATGAATGTAACGTAAAATGACAGTCTCTCTCTCGCTCTTCTTCAGAAATGAGTTTCAACGCCTGCCTTAAGACGTAATTCCATCAGTTAGTGTTTAAAGAGTTTTATTTCTCGCATAACTTGGCAGCCATTTCCAGTCCATTAAAGGTTTTCCTGCCCTATTAAGCACAAATCAGATATCGCAAAGATGGTGTCAGTAGAGATGCTATCCGCTCACAGGATAAAGTGACTTCCTCTAGAGCCCCGAAAACCATCTTTTCCTTGTAAACGAGAGCATCAACACAAATCAAAGTGCGTTTTCTTGTTGAAATGGACATATTTAATCCGTAATTTCCTGAAAGTCCATAGTTGTGCTGAATGGTGATTGGCTAACGAGATGCATTGTGGGTTGACTGTGCTCATGCATCATGGGTACGGCAGTGCTAGTGATGGTCAATTCTGCCTCTCTAACTGCCCTCTCTCACCCCCACCTTCCCCTCGTCCTGTGTAGGGTTACTTTAGTGA